CTCGATCCCAGGACCCTGGGATCATGACCTGAGCCGAAGGCAGACGCCCAACGACTGAGCGACCCAGGCGCCCCTAATGAAAACATTTTTAATTTTTATTTTTCCTTGCCCAAATTTTGTATTTTTCAATATGTAGGAAATGATGTTCACCCAAAACCAAACTAATTATGCCTCTTCATCATTATGATGATTTCCTTTAATATAAGCTTTTTCAGTAATAAATATACTATTCTAAATATGTTATTAAAAATTTTTGTTTTTAGGTGGGGAAAAGTTTTGGAGAAAGAGAAACTGGAGATATCTAGACTTGTGCTTTAGCAAAGAATAGGTTATAAAAAGAAGTAAATTAAAGACCTTTGACTATTATGTCACTTACTATTATATTATTAACACCTGGTCTGTAATGCAAAAGGAAAATTAGAAGAATGACTTTTTTTGAATATTTATCTGTATTCAATTCCTTTTAAATATTATCTTTATTGTAAGGCCCTTACTATCTTTCCTCAAGTGGAAGGAGATGAAGTATTTTATTTGTATGTATACTCTCAAGTTGTTTGTTCTCTGCTATCTTTAAGAGAAAATCAACTTAAGCCAAATCCTATAATAAATTTTCTATTTGCTAAATATGTAAAGAAATCACTCTCACTTCAATTAAAAAAAAAATTTTTTTTTCAGTTCATTTCTATGTGATGTGACCATGAAATCAGTGGACGGAAAGGAATTTCCTTGTCATAAGTGTGTTCTTTGTGCTAGACTTGGTAGGTATACTTTTTATTAGTTGCTGATTTATTTGTTTTAGTATTGTTTCGCTGTTCTAATGAATTGTACTTTTTCTTCTTCCAGAATATTTTCATAGTATGCTGAGTAGCTCATGGATTGAGGTAAGATTTAAGTTGAAGCCACATGGCTGGTAATCACGCTTTTTTTATTTTTGGGAAATTACATACTAAAGAAATCAGAATGGGAACCTGATATTTTAACTCCGTTTTATTTTTGTTGTAAACTTTATTTATGCTCTAGCCTTCTGGAAAATAGCAACATTTAGAAAATTGTTACAGAAAAGCTTCTTAGGTCAGAATTTCCCCTTTATTATTGGGATATGTGTTTGGAATACCAGTGTGATTGGTTTTTGTTTCAATTTTTCTTGATTCTCCACGTTACAAGGCATTTTAAAATTAAATATGTCATTTTAGATTTGTGTTTAATAAATGTTATGTTCTTTTGCATTTATTTGATGTGATTCCTATTCAGAGTTTTCTATTCCAGTCAGAATGCAGTGGTTTTTTGTAGTTTAAAATTAATTATTTTACTTTATTTTATTTAGGCTTCCACTTGTACAGCTCTGGAAATGCCAATACATTCTGATATACTGAAAGTTATTTTGGACTACCTCTATACTGATGAAGCTGTGGTGATAAAAGGTATTAATAAGAGGACGTTTTAGATATTTAAGATATAATTGAGTAACGGCAAAATCAACATGAATCATAATATCTACTCTAATTGAAATAAGCCATCAACAGAGGCTTAATTTAGAATCAGCAATAGGGATGTTTACTAATATTAAAGGAGTGGAAAAAAAATCTTCAATACCTATGTGAAAATGAACTCTGTAAGGATTATATATCATGGTTGAGATTAGATTTAACAGTTTCATACCCAGCTATTTCTGTGATTGAGATGAGGAACTGACAATAGGGAATAGTTTTGACAAATACTTTACAAAAGTCTTTTTCTTATTTGTTTTCCCCCTTGTGATAGTATCTCTGAAGTAAAAGAAACAGACTAAGAATTGGATCAAAATTTATGGAGAGATTGCATTTATATACTTTTTCAAGTAATACACCAATGTTTTAGTTACAAAGTGTCTTCAGTCAGGCCTGGTGGGCTACTGTGTTTAATTGTATGTGTATACCACATTCTTTTTATCCATTCATCCATCAGTGGACATTTAGGCTGTTCTATATCCTCACTGTTGTTAATTATGCTTCAGTGAACATGGGAGTACAGATATGTCTTCAAGATCCTGATTTCAGTTCCTTTGGCTAAATATCCAGAAGTGGGATTGCTATATCATATGGTAGTTCTATTTTAATTTTTGGAGGAACCTCCATACTGTTTTCCATAGTGGCTATAGCATTTTACACTCCCACCAACAGTGCACACAGATGTTCCCTTTTCTGCACATCCTTGCTAACACTTACCTTTTGTTTTATTAATAATAGCTATTCTTACAGGTGTAAGGTGACATCTCATTGTGGTATTGATTTGCATTTTCCTGGTAATTAATGACATTGAGCACCTTTTCATGTACCTGTTGGCCATTTGTATGTCTTTTCTGGAGAAATATCTATTTAGCTCTTTTGCCCATTTTTTAGTTGAGTTGTTTGTTTTCTTTGCTATTGAGTTGTAGGAATTCCTTATATATTTTGGATATTAATCTCTTACCTAATGGGGTTTGTAAATATTTTCTCCCATTCCAAAGTTTGCCTTTTCGTTTTGTTGTTTCCCTTTGCTTTGCAGAAACTTTGTAGTTTCATGTAATCCCACTTGCTTATTTTGCTTTTTGTTGCATGTGGTTTTGATGTCATTCAAAAAATCATTGGCAAGCCTAGAATCTTTACCCTGTTTTCTTCTAGGAGTTGTACAGTTTCAGGTCTTTTGTTGACATCTTTAATCCATTTTGAGTTGACTTTAGTATATAGTGTAGATCCAGTTTCATTTTCTTGCATGCGGATGTTCAGTTTTCCTAACACTCTTTATTGAAGAGGCCATCCTTTCCCTATTTTGTATTCTTTATACCCTTGTGGAAGATTAATTGACTGTAAAATGAGGGTTTATGTCTGGGCTTTCTATTCAGTTCCATTGGTATATATGTCTGCTTTTAATGGCAATACGTTAATATTTGATTACTGTAGCTTTGTAACATAATTTGAAGTCAGGAAGTGTGATGTTTATAGCCTTGTTCTTCTTTCTCAAGATTACTGTGGCTATTTAGGGTTTTTTTGGTTCCATATAAATTTTAGGATTGCTCTTTCTATTTCTGTGTAAAATGCCATTGGAATTTAGATGGGATTTTATTGAATCTGTAGATTGTTTTGGGTAGAGTGGACATTTTAACAGTATTCCTTTAGTCCATGAACATGAGATATCTTTCCATTTATTTTTGTCTTCAATTTCTTTCATCGGTGTTTTATAGTTTTTAGAGTACAGATCTTTTATCTCCTTGGTTAAATTTATTCCTGAGTGTTTTATTCTTTTTGATATAATTGTGAAAGAGATTGTTTTCTTAATTACTTTTTTGGATAGCTCATTGCTTGTGCCTAGAAAAGCAACTGATTTTTGTGTTGATTTTGTATCCTGCAACTTTACTGAATTTGTATATTACTTCTAATAGATTTTTGATGGTGCATTTAGGGTTTTCTAGAATAAGATCTTGTCATCTGCAGAGACCGTTTTACTTCTTCCTTTTCTATTTGGATGACTTTTCTTTCTTTCTTTCTTTCTTTTTTTTTTTTTTGCCTCATTACTCTTGCTAGGACTTCCAGTACTATGTTGAGTATGAGTGGCATGAGTGGGCATCCTTGTCTTGTTTCTGATCTTAAACAAATAGCTTTCAGGTTTTTACTGTTGAATATGGTGTTAGTTTTGGACTTGTCATAGATGGCCTTTATTATGTTGAGGTACATTCCTTCTCTACCTAATTTGTTGAAAGTTTTTATCATGAATGGATGTTGAATTTTGTCTTACGCATTTTCTGCATGTACCGAAATAATCATATGATTTTTGTTCTTTATTCTGTTAAGATAGTATCACATTCGTTGATTTGCATGTATTGACCTTGCATCCAGGCATAAATCCCACTTGATCATGGTGTATGATCTTCTTAACATGCTATTGAATTTAGTTTATTAATATTTTATTAAGGATTTTTGCAGGTATGTTCATCAGGGATATTGTACTGTAATTTTCTTTTCTGATAGTGTCCTTGACTCCTTTTGATATCAGGATAATCATGGCCTCATAAAATAAGTTTGGAAGTGTTCCCTCTTCTTCAGTTTTTTTTTGGACAAGTTTGAGGAGGATTGATGTTAATTCTTCTTTAAATGTTTGGTAGAATTCATCCATGAAAGCATCTGGTCTAGGGCTTTTCTTTTTTGGGAGATTTTTGATTATAGATTCAGTCTCCTTACTCTTATTGGTCTATTCAGACTTTGTTTCCTCATGATTTAGTCTTGGTAGATCATGTTTTTAGGAATTCATCTCTTTCTTTTAGTTTATCCAATTTGTCAGCTTACAGTTATTGATAGTAGTCTCTTATAATTTGCATTTCTCTGATATCACTTGTAATGTCTCCTCTTTCATTTAGAATTTTATTTTGGGGGGATCTTTTTTCTTATTCTACTTAGGGGTTTGTTAATTTTATCTTTTCAAACAACCAATTCCTAGTTTTGTTGACCTTTTTTGCTTTTTCTAGTGTCTCTAGGTCATATGTTTCTGCTCAGTCTTCTTTTTTTAAAGATTTTATTTATTTGAGAGAGAAAGAGAGCATGAGTGGGGGGGGTAGGGGCAGAGGGAGAGGGACAAGCAGACTCCCTGCTGAGTGCAGAGCCCAATGCAGGCTTCAGTCCCAGGACCTTGGATCATGACCTGAGCCGAAGTCAGATGCTTAACCAACTGAGCCACCCAGGCTCCCCCCTCTGCTCAATCTTTATTATTTTCTTCCTTCTGCTGACTTTGGGCTTTGTTTCTTCTTTTTGTAGTTCCTTGTTGTGTAAAAACCCTCAGTTGTTCTTTCAAGGTCTCTCTTTTTTGTTAAGGCATTTATCAGTATTTACTTCTTGTTAGAAGTTCTTTTGCTGCATCCCATAGGTTTTGGTATATTGTATTTCCATTTTCATTTGTCTCAAGATATTTTTTGCTTTCTCTTTGATTTCTTCTTTGACTTACTGTATTAATTTCCACATATTTACACTTTTTCCTATTTTCGTCCTGTTATTCTAGTTTTATGCCACTGTAGTTGGAGAAGATACTTGGTATCATTCAATCTTAAGTTGTTAAGGCTTGTTTTGTGGCCTCATATATGATCTATCCTGAGGAATGTTTTAAAGATTTTTTTTTTTTTTTTTTTTAAAGGTTTTATTTATCTGAGAGAATGGGAGACAGAGAGCATGAGAGGGGGAGGGTCAGAGGGAGAAGCAGACTCCCCGCTGAGCGGGGAGCCCGATGTGGGACTCGATCCCGGGACTCCAGGATCACGACCCGAGCCGAAGGCAGTCGCTTAACCAACTGAGCCACCCAGGTGCCCCTATCCTGAGGAATGTTTTATGTGCACTGAGAATATATATTTTGCTGTTGTGAATGGAATGTTCGGTATATATGTTAGGTTCATTTGGTTTGTAGTGTTGTTCAAGTCTGATGTTTCCTGGTTGATTTTCTGTCTCCATGGTCTGTCCATATTTGAACATGAATATCCATATTCAAGTTCTCTTATTACTGTACTGATGACTATTTCTGCCTTCAGTTTATATATTTTATGTATTTAGGTGCTTCAATGTTGTATGCTTGTTGTATGTATATGTACAACTGTTATGTCCTATTGATGTGTTGACCCCTTTATTATAATGACCTCTTTGTCTCTTCTATTTCTTACTGAAGCCTATTTTGTCTGATAGAAGTATAGCCACTCCACCTCTCCTTCAGTTACCATTTGCATGGAATATTTTTTTCCGTCCTTTCACTTTCAGCCTATGTGTTTTCTTAAAGGTAAAATGAGTCTCTTGTAGGCAGTATATAATTGAATCTTGTTTCTTTATCCATTCAGCCACTTTGTCTTCTGATTAGAGAATTTAATCCATTTAATTATTGATAGGTAAGGACTTAATGCCATTTTGTCCATCGTTTTCTGACTTTTATAGTACCTTCTTTCTCTCTTATTGTCTTCCTTTGTGATTGAATGATGTTTTGGTAGTGATATGCTTTGATTCCTTTCTCTGTATCTTTCGTGTATTTACTGCAGGTTTTTCCTTTGTGGTTACCATGAGGCTTACATATAACATATGTAACAGTGTGCATATAACAGTCTGTTTTATTTATTTATTTTTTTAAAGATTTTATTTATTTATTTGAGAGAGAGAGAATGAGAGAGAGCAAGCACATGAGAGGGGGGAGGGTCAGAGGGAGAAGCAGACTCCCTGCCGAGCAGGGAGCCCAATGCGGGACTCGATCCCGGGACTCCAGGATCACGACCTGAGCCGAAGGCGGTCGCTTAACCAACTGAGCCACCCAGGCGCCCCGATATAACAGTCTGTTTTAAACTAATCACAACTTAATTTCCATTGCATACAAAACCTCTACATTTTACTTCTTCCCACTCTGCCATTATTTCTTAAAATGTTCTTTATGCCCTTTTTTCTTTTCTCCTGCAACTCCCATATGTATCTTGATATGGTAGATGGTGATCCATAGGTCTCTTATGCCCTGTTAATTTGTATTCATTGTTTTTTCTTTCTGTTCTTTAGGTTGGATAGTTTCAATTGACCTATAATTTCTGTGTCTTCATTGATGTTCTTGATTTCAAGAGACATTATCCTCATACTTTCTTTTAAATTTAAGACATGATTTCCTTTAATTCTTTGGACATATTTAAAATAGCTGATTTAAACTCTAATAGTTCAACATCTTGGCTTCCTCAGGGACAGTTTCTCTTAGTTGCTTTTTTCCTATATATGGGCCATACTTACATGTTTTTTTCATCTTTCATAATTTTTCATATATTTTAAATAATATAATGTGGTAACTCTTGAAATCAGATTCTCCTCCCTCCCCAGGGTTTATTGTTTGTGCTATTTGTTTATTGACTTTTCTGAACTAATTAATTCTGTAAAATCTCTATTCTTTGTCTTGTGTGACCACTAAAGTTTCTGCTGGGTTAGCTTAGTGGTCAGCTAATAATTAGAAATTTCCTTAAATGCCTAAAATCAATAGATTCCCAGCCTTTGACATAGAGTTCTTTGTGTATGTTGGGGCATGCCTTCATTTCTCAAGCAGGCAATTTATGACTCTGCTTTAGCTCTTACTGTCTGCTTTAGTACAGCCTCATGTCCAGCCAAAGGTAAAAATTTAGGACCTTAAGTTTTTCCTTGGCATGTATATAGTTGTCTATATGCGTGTGGCCTTCTAGATTCACAACAGTGTGTTGGAACTTTTCAAAACCCCCTATGGACATCCATATTAGTCAGCTGGAACTGCCATAACAAAATACTGTAGATTAGGTGGCTTAAAGAACAGAAATTCATTTTTTCATAGTTCTGGAGATTAGAAGTCTCAGATTAGGGTTTGACAAGGTTGGTTTCTGGTGAGGACTTTCTTCTTGGCTTATACATGGATGCCTTCTTGTTATGTCCTCACATGACCTTTCCTCTATGCGTGTGTGCATGTGTGTGTGTGTGTTTAGGGAGCGGGGAGGAGGGAGGGAAATAGACAGATACCTTTTTGATACCTCTTTTCTTAGAAGGACCCTAATCGTATTGGACCAGGGCTCTACCCTTCTATAACTTCATTTATCCTTAATTACTTCCTGAGAGGCCCTATCTCCAAATACAGCCACACTGGAAATTAGGGCTTCAACATGTGAATTTTCAGGGAATACAAACATCCAGTCATAACATCTCTTTTCCTACCTTTTTGAAATTTTTATTTATTTATTTTTAAGAGATTGTATTTATTTGAGAGAGAGAGGGCACAAGCAGGGGGAGTGGCAGGCAGAAGGAGAGAGAAAAGCAGGCACCCCACTGAGCAGGGAGCCTGATATGGGGCTTGATCTCAGGACCCCGAGATCATGACCTGAGCTGAACGAGATGCTTAACCGACTGAGCCACACAGGTGCCCCCTACCTTTTTTTTAAAAAAACTGTTGTTTGCTCCATCTGTTATTATTGTCTTAGTCAGCTTCAATGTTAAACAGTTGCTATTGATTGTTTTTAATAAATGCCCTGAGGGAAGAGGCTATTCAGACCAGTAAAGCTTTGAGTCAGGTCAAAATAAAGACAAGCCCTGCTAGTGGGATTTCCAGGGAACTGCTAGGCAGGTCAAATAATGACAGTTCTTTGATAATGTTGCTACATAACTCTTCTGCCTCCTTCAATGGCTGTAGTTGTTCGTTTCCACTGTGACGGCAGGGTTATTGGTTTTTAAGACTACTGTGGAGGAGGGAAGAGGAGGATTTAAATAGAAAAAGCTACAGTGTCCCGTTGCTCACTGTTCCTAGTAAGATTCAGCCATTTTTCTTGAGTCAACATTCCTCAAATTATTGCAAGCCTTTGGCTATTTTCTCAAATTTTGAAAAAGTTGATTTTGACAATTTTCATAGTATCTTCATTGCTTTTGTGGAGAAGAGGAGTTCTGGAAGTAGTCCTTAGTTTGCCATTCGGTGACTTCAGCTCTTCCTCCTTTGTTAAAAATGATTTTTCTACATTTTTTCTTCTTAGTTTTTTTTTTTCTTCCTAGTGTGGTTTTGTTTTGTTTTGTTTTTGTATTTATGTTGTTATTCTAGCACTGTCTCAGGGTGATTGCTCAAGGCCATTAGTAGTACTCAGGATTGAGGTTATTTTAAATTAAGGAACTCCTATAGTTTAAAAAGAAAGTATACTCTTAGGCTTCTTTATTTAAAACAAAAATGATTATCTAAGATCATTATTCACCCCCCCATATATATGTATACGTTTGTTCTTAACATATGTATCTAGTAGCCTTCTAGACTAAAAAGATCACTTCAGGTTGCCCATTTTATGTCCTAGTGTGAACCAGGACATTTTGATGTGTTTCTTTCCAGCTTTCTACTTAAAATAAAGGTAGAAAATTCTCACGTTATTACTATTTATCATAGTTGCCATTGCAACATTTAGAAAATAGTCATAATTATCTTTCTTTGTTTCTTACTTAGAACTTTTTTCATAGGTATAATGTTTACAAAGTAATAGTTTTGCTTGTTTTCTTTTTTTTAGAATCTCAAAATATGGATTTTGTGTGTAGTGTTCTTGTGGTGGCTGATCAGCTTCTTATAACTCGATTGAAAGGGATTTGTGAAGTAGCATTAACTGAGAAACGTGAGTATTTTTGAATTTGAATATTACTGTGTTTTCAGGTTGGTACAGGATTATTCATTGACTTTATTATTCCATTTGTGGTAAAATGCACCATTGTTTTTCTGAATCATGAAAAATGTTAAAACATTTAAGCTATTTTGTGTCATTGTAAGCACATTTCTTATGTCACATGTGTTAATACGTGAAAATATGTACATCTTATAATCGAAATATGTTAAGTTTTTGAAATGTAAAACGAATAATGAAGATGATAGGAAATTTATTTTGAAATTTCAAAGATGAGTGTTTGAAAGAAATTTTTTTCCTTTTGCCCTGGTCTTGGCTATAAGTCTGTGTTTAGCTACCTGTTACTGCTGGAATTTTTATATAATTGTCTCATTTATGTATTTGATCAAAACACATCTCTTTTCTCTTAAACTCTTTCTCTGTTCATTATTTCATTTAATGAATACTTCATTATTTTTTTTTAAGATTTTATTTATTTATTTGTCAGAGAGCGAGAGAGAGCACAAGCAGGGGGAGCAGCAGGCTCCCCACTGAGCAGAGAGCCCAATGTGGGACTTGATCCCAGGACCCTAGGATCATGACCTGAGCCGAAGGCAGACACTTAACCGACTGAGCCACCCAGGCATCCCTGAATACTTCATTATTTCAGTTAATTGCATTGCTTGCTTTTTGAACATTCAACTTTTGAAACCCAAAGCTATCTTTTATGTTGTTTTGTTCTTTACATCCACATTCTTTCAGTTGCCAGAACTGATGCATCTTAACTACATTTCCCCCTCCTTTTTATTGTCACTATGCTAGTTGAGGTCACTGATATCTGTCCCTTCTGTGTAGTGTCACAGTAATTTTAAGTCCTCTTTCTATTTCTCTTTTTTTAATCTTTCTGTTGGAAGTAATTATGTCTTCCTCTCTTGAGGTATTTTTAATTGCTTACTCTAGGGTAAAGATTAAGTTTTCTTAGCCTGATATAAAAGATTCTAATTTTATCTTTGTTCATCTTCATTTTCACATTTCCACCTTAGGAAGTATGAAGGGATTTCCTGTCAGAATTTTCTAATTTGTACTTGCTGATAGTTTGTCTTAGCTATAGTGTCTTATTTACTTACTTTTCTTGAGCTTTATGGGATATCTTCTTGGTTATCAAAAAGAACAACAGTTCTAATCTTTTAAGCTAGAAAATGGAAATGTTTGTTGCATCCTTTATTTTAATATAACAGGAGTAAAGTATACATATTGGAGATATTTTCAGCTGCTCAACTGACTTTTCCTGGCACTGCTTGTATATTCTTTTTTGGCCCATGCTGCACAACTGTCCTATAAATGAATATCTTGATCATCCTAGAACCTAGCAAGAGAAGGGTTCAACAGAAGTCTGGTCTCTCAGTATTGGGCAGTCCTTGTTCCCAACTGAACAACTCTAAAATTTTTGTATGATCCATTTTTGCGAAATGGGAGACTTTGGTTTCATAATTAGTTGAAACTTTAGGTTTGGTTAGGAGTGGGACAAAGACCACTCTTGACTGCAGTTATACCTTTTGACAGAGTTACAAGGAAGAAAGAAAAACAAATGTGGAGTAAGCCAGGTATAGAAAACAGTTGTGTCCCTCTCTTGGTTAGAACTCACAGTAAATCAAGAATGGAGGGGTTTGGGAAGCCAAAGTTATAAGCTAGGTAGGTAGAATATTCTGAGATGGTCTCTAGCAAAATAGGACACTTCATATATAAATCTACTAGGATTGTAATAAAATCCAGAATCTTTTATACAGTATGCCAGATTCTGCACTGGCATGAATAATAATACAGTCATATTTAAATGTAATTATGTTCCAAATATATAGTGTGTGTATTTGTTTATGTAAATATACTCACATAAATTCTGATGGATTACTCAATGTAAATATTCTCAAATATATTTTATAGACTGATTTCATCAGTTTCTCTTAGTCTTTTTTTAAAATTACCCTTAACATTACCCTTGACTTTTTTAAATTTATTTTTTATTTTTAAGCATATTTTATTTTTTAATTTTTTTAAGTTATCTCTATTCCCAACATGGGGCTCAGTGCCACCCCAAGATCAAGAATTGCAGGCACTACTGACTGAGCCAGCCAGGTGCCCCTACTTTCTCTTAGTCTTAAGATCTTTTTAGTTTTGTAGAAGAGAGAATAACTATTCTGTGCTATATAAATGAAAAGGAAAGTTGTTTATCGATGGAAGTTAAAACTATTCTAAAAATGTTAGGTGGAAGATTGTCAATTCTTACGTATTTGCTTTTACATGACACTGTAACACATCATCTGTATTTTCTTTTGGTGTGCTTATTTCTCCTCATAACCAATCATTTAAAATTACTTTGGCACCCTGGGAGGAAAATAGCATTCTAAATTTGCCTTAGTATAAGTTATTTTGGCAAGAAACTACTTTCAGTTTTCCTTGTTCTTAATGTTCAAAGCCGACAACTTTAAAAATAAGTATATTGTATTTGCTGTAGTAACATGACTTTCATCTCATTTTGAGTATCTTTTCTTTGTAGTTACCCTTAAGAATGCTGCTATGGTACTGGAATTTGCAGCAATGTATAATGCTGAACAATTGAAACTGTCTTGTTTACAGTTTATAGGACTGAATATGGCCTCTTTACTTGAAGCAAGGTAGGTTGGGTGCATACATTATATGACTGTTGCAAAAGCAATTACTTATGTATAATAGCAGATCTGTTAGTAATTTAAAAAGGCATAATGATAAATTACAGCTTTGTAGAAAATAAAAATGTAAGGGGATTCAGTCATTCTATCGGTATTTGAGTGCCTAATATATGTCAGCCACTGCTAAGATACAACAGTGAACAAAACAGACAAAATCCTTGACCTTAATGGAGAGCTTCCATTCTTGGAAATTTGTGGGAAAATGTTATTACAAGTATTTTCTTTATATGTATGCATATCTCTTTGCTTGTTTAGGCTGATTTACAACTATAATTGTTACCTAGGCTTTTGGAAACTATATATAATACTAATTAAGACAGCACATAATTATTTCACATGTAAGCATGTGAAAAATTTGTTACTAGTTGATTTCCTTTTTTCTTTGTATTTTTCTCTTTGAATATTTCTTATATGACGTATTGCTTCTTTAGTCAAACTTAGGCTGCAGCTGATGGCCTGAAAAATTTAGTTGGTTTAGTTTGTTGCAAGCTGGTGTGAATATTCAAGTCTTACTATGTTGAAATCAATGAGTAATGATTCTTAGAAAAATGACACTTTATATAAAACAATTGGCTAAACATATACACCCTATTTTATAAGCTAGTATTTCATACTGTTGATGTTTACTTGGATTGAAAAAATTTGATAAATGGTAATAACTTAGGAATCGTAGGTATTTTAGAATTAGAGGGAGTGTTTTTTTTTTTTTAAAGATTTTATTTATTTATTTGAGAGAGAGAGAATGAGAGAGAGCACATGAGAGGGGGGAGGGTCAGAGGGAGAAGCAGACTCCCCGCCGAGCAGGGAGCCTGATGCGGGACTCGATCCAGGGACTCCAGGATCATGACCTGAGCCGAAGGCAGTCGCTTAACCAACTGAGCCACTCAGGCGCCCGAGGGAGTGTTTTCAACTGTCTTAGTGGAATCGTTTAATGAAATAAATTTACAGACTTATTTTTTAATATAAGGTCAAATTTTTATTACTATAAAGTCAGTGGTGAGAAAAATGAGTGTTTTGGTGAACACAAGATTTAGATGAGAGTTCTTCATGTCACTTGGCATTTTTGAAGCTTCAGTATCATTTATTTCTGTATTTTGTTTTAGTCATAATAATGATAACTAATACTATGTGCCAGGGAGCATTCTAAAAGTGTTATGCAGATCTCAGTTGATTTTCATGGAAACCTTCTGATGAAGTAGATTCTTTTTATAGCCTCATATTACAGATGAGAAAACCCAGGAACCCTTTTTTTGCAAAGAATCAAAATCTTGATCCATATAATTTATTATAAATGGTAACAGATTTTTGCTGTCTCACCTTTCAAAGTCAGGATAATCTTTAATGAAACTAATTCTAAAATATGATTGAAATAAAAGTGTTCTGATTTTTAGAGGTGAATCACTAACAGATTATTAATAATTGCTACATAGGGCTCAATTCAGAGGAAATTCTTTTGGCAATATAATGCTTTGTTATTTTGTGAAAATGCTTTTCAAATGCAAATTAATATGGGATATTAGACAATGTGATTTTATTTTATTTCTTTTCAAAAAGATCTTATTTATTTATTTGAGAGAGAGAGAGTGCGCGCGCACACAAGTGGGGGGAGGAGCAGAGGGAGAAGCAGACTCCCCGCTGATCAGGGAGCCTGACATGGGTCTCGATCCCAGGACCCTGAGATCATGACCTGAGCCAGAGGCAGAGGCTTAACCAACTGAGCCACCCAGGCACCCCTAGACAATGTGATTTAAAATGCCTCTGATATTTTAGTATCAGAACCTGGCTAGGGTTTCAGAATAAATTTCTTTGCTGATGTTACATTAATAATTGTAATCAAAGCAGTTTTGTTTTTGTTTTTACTTTGCCTTGCCAAATTAAGCTCATTCAGTTTGTCAGATAAGAATCAACCAAAATGCAAAACAAGCACCAAATCTAAAATATGATATTGGAAAATGATGTGTCTTAGTACCATTGTTCAGTTGTTATGTTGTGACAAGTGTATCATGTGAATCATTAAAAATGGCACATGCTGTGGTGATGTCTACTTGTATAATTTTACATGAGTAGGTATGCGTAACTTGCATTAAAACAAAGATTTGTACAAATTTAACCATTCCTTATCAAATATGTTTCCTAGGAGTGTAAATAAATATGTACAGAGATGTTAAAAAAGGAGAGCTGCACCAAAACTGATATAACATCACAGGTTAATTATCGTCAAAATGTTAAAAACTGGTATGGTACAGATTTGAATAGGCAAGTTGTTTTGCATTTGTAAAAATAGTTTAAAATATATTTTAGAATGTAAGCTTTGATTTAAGTTTTCACTGATGCCTTAAAAGTATCTCTTTGGAACTTGAGAGTTCCTTGAAATTTACTTTGAATACATCTGATCTAGTCCAAACCATTATTTTATGCGTCATGAACATATTAAAGTCCAGAGAGGTAAAGTGAGTTGCTCAAAGTCATGCAGGTAACTGGTAGCATTGATAGTTCTAGATAGAATTAAGGTATTGTGATAGGCCATTGTTCTATCAGTATAGTGCTCCTTCTGTAGCTAAAGATTGGAAAGTTGGAAAATGAATACATGGTCCCTGATTTACCATGGTTTGACTTAGGATTTTTCAACTTTATAGTGGTGTGAAAGTGATACACGTTTAGTACAAACTGTACATTGAATTTTGAATTTTGATCTTTTCCCCATGCTAGTGATAAATAGTACGATACTCTCTGGTGATCCTGGGCAGTGGCAGTGAGCCACAGTTCCCAGTGACATACAGGAACACAAGGGTGTAAATAACTGACACACTTGTTTTTTACTTTCAATACAGTAATTAATAAATTACATAAGATATTCAACACTTTATTATAAAATAGGCTTTGTATTAGATGATTTTTCCCAACTGTAGGCTAATGTATGTGTTCTGAGCATGTTTAAGGTAGTTTAGGCTAAGCTGTGATGTTCAGTAAGTGGGTATATTTAAATATATTTTTGACTTAAGAGATTTTTAACTTTTGATGGATTTATTGGGATGTCAAGGAAGAACTTTAGTTGCTATTTTGCTACAATATAAATAAGTGATAGAAAAATCTTTTTTAAGAGTTGAGTTTTATTGAAGATGTTTGTCTATATATATTGCTGTTTATTTGAAATATACAACTATACATACTTCCAAAAAGAATTTGTAGCAGCTGGCATATTAATGATTTAAAAAATAACTGTTACTTATTCAGCAATGTAAAATGTCTCTACATATTTGAAAATCTTGATGAGTATTAAGTTACTTAAGTCTTAAGATAGAATTTTGTATCTTGATTTTTAGGTCTCTTGATGTTTTAAGTGATGGTGTTTTGAAGGATCTTTCTGTGTTTTATAGAAAAATGGTAAGGTTTATGTTTTTTTTAATAATATGATCAAACTAAAGTAGTACTGTTAGGTCAGACTTCTCAATGGAATAATTTCCTATTGAATTCTAATATATTAGGATCTTTTAAAAATGAGGATGTAAATTTTTTTACAGATCCCAGATTAGTATGATAATCAAAATTAAAAATATTTAATGATAAAATTATCTAATTCCTTTATAAATGAAAGTTATTGAAAGCTTTTTGAGTTTTTCATTACCAAAGGTCAGGACAGTAGAAAAACATGGATTCACATGATCCCTAAGAAATGGATTAATTTGTATTTGATAATAAAGTAGAGCTTTTTTGAAAAGTTTTTTTTTGACAGTTTTTTAGAATAAATGAATGAATCTAATTAGTTTTTCCCATTGGTGTAAACTTAGGAAGTCATTAGGCATTCTAGACTTTTCCTTGTTAACGTCACCACATACCAATATAAACAAGTGGGATATACCTATTTTTTTAAAAAGTCTTTACACATTTTGTATTTAACAAGGGACACCTTTTTTTTTTTTTTTTTTAATAGATTCCAGCAATGGATAGAAGAGTCATTACACCATATCAAGATGGACCAGATATTAGCTATTTGGAAGTAGAAGATGGAGATATCTTTTTGAAAGAAGAAATAAATTTGGAACAAAATTATTCGTAAGCATTGTTTCTCTTTTTTTTTAATTTTATTTATTTATTTGACAGAGAGAGACAGCAAGAGAGGGAACACAAGCAGGGGGAGTGGGAGAGGGAGAAGCAGGCTTCCTGCTGAGCAGGGAGCCCGACGTGGGGCTCGATCCCAGGACCCTGGGATCATGACCTGAGCTGAAGGCAGATGCTTAACCATCTGAGCCACTCAGGGGCCCCTCTTTTTTTTTCTTTTCTTCCCTCCTCCCCTTCTGTCCCCCTCCCCAATCTTTTACACTATTAACAGTTTTATGCTGAAAGAGAAAAATTGGAGAATCCTGACATAAGAAGTATGTACTTATGTTTATTCTTAGCCTTATTATAAGAAAGTAAGTGCATAATTATTTGCAGATGTAACAAAATTAACTGTAAATATAAAAGGAACACAACCTTTAAATTAATATGTGTGGTTGAATAAGTGCATTTATCTTAGCTACCTTCCCAAACCCTGCTGAAATTATAATAAAGAAATAAGAAAGGCATATTGCAGTAGAGAGAACAGGAAAGGAGAAAACAGCATTTCGGAGATGTACAGTTTTGGAAGTTGGAAAGCGGTTACGGAGAGTAATGACTTAGAAAAAAACTAAAACAGAATTCTAGAAAGCCTTAAGAATTAGAGATAGCAAGTTTCAGAGTGAGTGGTTAGATTTGGAAAAGAGCATTTTTTAATATTCTTTCAAAGAGCATTGACCTCTTTCTGAACCACATTCACCCAGATGATTGCCCCTCCCATCCATCTTGACAGAAAGATTTGCCCTCTGGAGAGTTTGAACCTAAGAGGAGTGCATCGCCACTGTGGATTTTTTTCTGTAGAGAACCTGACTGGTTCAAGAAATAGGACCTATAGTGACTGACATTTGAGAATCCCGCAACAAAATATCCCAAGTTCTCCATTATCTCCCTTTGTGTGGCCAACCATTTAGCAAGCCCTGTTTAGAATTTCCAGTCTGTGTCTTAGGCTCACTTATCAACTGGTTACAGAATTACTTTCCTTCTACTTGATAAATGACTTGTTAAAATCTTTGGGCATTCAAGTAATTTACTATATATATATATATATATATATATATATACATACACACACACACATACATACATACATACATACATACACATATACACATACATACTATGTATACTAACTGTGTAGCTCACTGAGAAACTGGTCTTGGGTTCCAGAGGTTTTTTTAACCCCTTTTCTAGAGTTTGTTAGCATTTAGGTTACTTGAAGTTTCCGATATCTGATTATTTTACTTTTCAAAGTATTTTCCTATATATTATCTTATTTCTAACTTTCACAGAAATAGTAGAGTTAGAACGAGTTGAATTTCAGTGAAACGGAGTAATTTGCTCTGGGCCACATAAATAAATGCAACTAGAGCATGCGTATTTTTTGTGTTCTCTGACTAAAATGCTATATATATTCTTTTGCTCAAAATACATAGTTCTGTTGTTAATCTGTAACTTATTTCTAAAAAATGAATTTTATATTTGCTTTTTTCCTAGGGAAAGTATGTTCAAGAAGGCAAAAACAAAAGCAAAAAAGAAGTCACGTAAGCGTTCAGATAGTTCTGGAGGTTATAACCTTTCAGATGTTATTCAGAGTCCACCATCTACAGGTTAGTGAAAGTGTCTTAGGATATATTTCCTGATCTAATCTTTCATGTCTCTGTTCTCTAATTGATTTAACATGTATTAAATACTATTGTATGCCACTTGCGAGGCCTACTATAATAGAAAATAGTCTTTGTCTTAGGAGGCTACAGAAAATGATAGTATATTGTAATAAATATTCTAATTGAAATTTGCTTTGGGAGCACAAAAGAAGAGCCCATATTAGTCTGAGAAGATCAGGGAAGACCTTTTAGAGGAAAATAATACATGAGTTGCATCTTGAAGAATGAGGGAGGAGTTGGCCAGTATGCTCCCAAGACTAGAGGCACTAGAAAGAACTGCACATTTTTTATGCCTATGGTTCAGCATGACTCAGCCATATAGGGTATGTGCAGATAGGTGGTAGTTGAAAACTGGTCAGATTTTGGAGGCATTTTATGACAAACTAAGGAATTTGAATTTTATTCTGAAGGCTATGGGTAGTTGATGGATATATAATTTTTTTGAGGGAGAGATGGGGGAGGGGCAGAAGGAGAGGGAGAGAGAGAATCCCAAGCCGACTCCACGGCCAGCGTGAAGACTGACAACGGGGTTTGATCTTACCCCGAGATCACGACCTGAGCTGAAATCAAGAGTCAGACACTCCACCAGCTGAGCCACCCATGCACCCTAGTTGATGGATATTTAAGGCGTATGATGTGAGTGGATAAAATTTATGTTTTTAGAAAGACCACTCTGTCTAGTGGCATAGAGGATTAGAGATATACAAAATATGACAGAGATACTGTTATCACATGGATTCGTTTCATTTATATCAGTAATCCAATGCACATGCCATTCATGTGCATTAGGACGTTATAATCCAGTAAAATACTACAATACATTTCATCTCTCTGCATTATGTGAGCTGTTTGAAAGTAAAGGTTAGGGGCGCCTGGGTGGCTCAGTCGTTAAGCATCTGCCTCGGTTCAGGTCACGATTCCAGGGTCCCGGGGTCAAGCCCCCATCAAGCTCTCTGCTCAGCAGGAAGCCTGCTTCTCCCTCTCCCACTCCCGCTGCTTGTATTCCCTTTCTCCCTGTCTTTCTCTCTGTCAAATAAATAAATAAAATCTTTAAAAAAAAAGAAAAAGTAAAGGTTATGTAGTTTTTCTAAAATTTTTTGTTTAATTTGAAAATCTTTTACTGAAAAGATGAAGAAAAATGAAAATCTGTATTCCCTTCTTTCAGATTTACTGTTAACCTCTTACCACATTTACTTTTTCATACAGACTTTCTGTTGCATGCTCTCTTCCCTCATCCTCCAAACATTCTATATATTTTTTATAGATCCACTTGGAAGTTGTAGGCATGACATTTTAATGTGAATTAATATTAATATGAATCTCCTAAGAATAAGGATATTCTTCTATATAACCACAGTATCGTTATCACATCTACAATATCATCACATCTAGGACATTAATTCACTAATATTATCTAGTATTATAGTCTCTATCCATATTTCCCTGATTGTCCAAGAATATTTTTATAGGCTTTTGTGTTTTAACCTTAAAAAAGACCTAGTATCCTATGAAGATGGACATTACCTTTGTTTATTAATGTCTCCTTAGTCTCTTTTAACTAGAGTAGCACCTTTCACACCTTTTTGTTTTGTTTCCAAAAGTTCAGGCCAGTGGTATAGACTGTTCCACATTTATCTGATTAGATCCAGATTAAACTATCTAAATTTTAGTAGTTTCTTGCAGTGAAAATATGGAAATGTGACCATAAAATAATGAGACTACAGTATGGCTTTAAGAAATTTTATGTGTGTCTATAGCAGTAAGACAAACAGGTGCAATTTCTGTCAGCAGTATTTTCATACAAGTGCACACTGTTTGTGTCCCTGTTGGAGGGGGGAGTTGTCATTCAGGGTAAAGAATGTCTTTTTATGTTTAACACGATATACAAATTAGGTACTTGATGTGTTCGGTAATGCTCAAAGGATAAATCATGTCAAGAATAGTTACTTTAGATAATACAAAGATATATAAAAGATAATATACCTAAATATAAAAAAGATAATATACCTAAATTGATTGATGAAGCACTAAAGATAGGTCTTTCACATTTACTATACCTCTTGATTCCTGTTTTAGGATCTTTCAAAATTTAAAATTCTGTGATTTTGTGTTCTCTGTGTTACATGAGTTACCTCTAGTCCTTAGAAGGACACATGGAAAGATGAATAAACGGATAGACAGTCATGAAACTAGTGATTTCCCAGTCGCCTAAAAGACTTAGGGAAAAAGCAAATATTTGGTTTTATTTATTTATTTGAGAGACCATGAGTGGGGATGGGGGAGTGTGAAACAGAGGGAGAAGAACAAACAGACTCTATGCTGAGCACGGAGCCTGACGTGGGGCTGGATATGAAGACCCTGAGATCATGACCTGAGCTGAAACTGAGAGTCTTATGGCTTGACCAACTGAGCCACCCAGGCACCCCTATTTGGTTTGCTTTAAGTAGTGGTATTATTAGCACATGTGTTAGAATCTTAGCATTTCATAGCTGGAAGAGACAATAATGAGCTAGTTTATGTCTCTTCCTTTAAACCTGAGGAAACAAGCTCAGAAAACTTCAGTGATTTGAGGTAGTGCCAGACAGAAATAGAATTTATTTTTTCATTTCCAGTTCTGTGTTCTTTGTGCTGTACCACTCTTTTTGTGGCCAAAGCAGATAATGATTTAAAGGTCAAATTTAAACTGGGGACCAAAAAGACCTGTTTTGGAAGTAAATTTATTTTTGTTGATCCTTAACATTAGACAAAAGACATTCTGTGAAAATGATTTATACTAAAAATAATTGTTGGCCACTTTACAGATTGTCTTTATTCATTAGATTTATTTCTAATTGACTTTTGGGAGCATTCTGGCATTAAATATACTTAGATAAAAATTTGCTGCTGGGTGCCTGGGTGGCAGAGTCCGTTAAGCATCTGATTATTAGTTTCCGCTCAGGTTGTGATCTTGGGATCATGAGATCCAGCCCTGCGTCCTGCTCCATGCTCAGTGTGGAGTCTGCTTGGGATTCTCTCTCCCTGTGCTCCTCCCGCTCATGTTCTCACTCTTTCTAAAATGAATAAATAAATCTTCAAAAAAAAATTTGCTGCTCTTAAAAATATTTAAAAGATTGCGGGGGTGCTGAATGTTGTTCCGAAACTATTTTAGCAGTGACAGCAACAAAAGAGGCATATATCTTGTCAAAGTGATTTACTTTAAAGAAAACACACTTCTTTATATGAGAGATGGTAGGTTTTATTTATTTTTAAGTCATTTGTAAAACTTTTAGTTAGCTCATATATGTGGGGTTTTTTTTGCTACCTCATTTAGATTCTACTAAAATTGAAATATGTGAAAATAAACACATGAACTTAAACAAAAGTTTATTGTTTTCTCTATGTTTGAAATGATTCTGATGTACTCATGAATATGGATACCAGGTATGGCAGGGAGACAGGTATTTAGGTTGCCTAGGAGAATAAATGGTATGTACATTTCTAACAACCCTTTTGCTTTAGGTGGTAAGCTAATTAAAATAGCTTTCAATCCACAGATTTTTTTTTTTTTGCAGAAGTATAAACCCTCACACAGGCCACAGTTGGCTTTAGCATAGCCTCTGCTACTGGGCCAGTCTGTTGACTGGAGTAGAAAGGCTATAATGTTCCTCCCACACAGAATGGGGCCAGTCCCCCTGTGCATGGGTGCAGAGAACTTGGTACAGAGAGATGAGAAAGGGGAGGGTCTGAAGTTTTTTAATTTTTTCTTTTTTATGGAGAGGAAGTTCTGAATCACTTCTTAAAGCGGATCCAAAGAAGTGTCTTCCTTAGGTTCATTGCATAATTGCTGTGTAATCGAAATGGCTAAAACTGTTGTTTTAAAATCTCCTCCATTTCATTTTTTTACTTTGATTTTTTCATCAGTTGGCTTGAATTGTCAAGATTTGATACAGTCAGTATAATATAAATGTTTTTAAGTCTCTGGATAAATGGAAGTTTTTAGCTCTATTTAGTTCACTGAATGTAATACACATGTTTATATGTGCTTAAATATTTTTAAAAATTTTACCTTTCAGGACTGTTAAAGTCTGGTAAGACCAATTCTGTGGAATCTCTTCCAGAACTGTTGACATCAGACTCTGAAGGAAGCTATGCAGGAGTGGGTAGTCCTAGAGATTTACAGTCCCCTGATTTCACAGCAGGATTTCAGTCAGATAAACTTGAGGTTTGTTTTTATTTATTAATGCACTGTTTTCTTCAAATTTTAGATCTATAGACAATTTATCTTTAGTTTTTTATTATTTTTTGCTCTAACTTTAAAATACTCTCCTGGCTGGTTTATAAAAAAAATATAATAATATGTGTAGTATTAGTTTTCTCAAATTTGCATTATGTTTCTAGTTTTAAAGATTTTAATGGCAGTTTGAGCCTTTTATGATATATTTCTAATCCTCTTTCTGCAATTAAAATATAATGGTGATGTAAAATATAGCAACACTGTATAGACATATGGAGAAATATATTTATAGCTAAATTATTTGAAATTTATTTTGCGAAATGTCAGTTAACACCAGCTAAAAACTGTCAAAGGAAACTGATTTTGAAAGTAAGCCTAACTTCAAATTCTGCATAGTCTCTTTCCTCTATCATGTTACTAGGAGCAATACAATCTAGAATGGAGTTCTCCTATTCTAGCACAATTGACATTAAGCTACAGAATTTCTAGTCTGGTTAAACTCTGGGGAGGCCATTTTTTAGACATGTCTTAACATTTTATTCCATAATTGTTAATCTACAGGAAAGGAAAGTGTCTAACTTATTAGATACTGTCATTTTTCTCTAACTCCTAGTCCTCCACAGAACTATTGGAACTTTGAGAAATTCATGAGACAATGGAAAATTTACCCATTCTTCTTGGTCTTCTAGGCCTCAAGGATTTTTTTTAATGTGGTTCTATAAAATTTATTTTTATTATTATTTTTTTTATGTAGGATAGAAATTTGGGGGCAATTCATATTAACCTCAGGTGGGTGTAATTGAGGTTAAAAAGGAAGATTAAGGGCATGCTGTGAATGTCTGGCAATAAGAATCTATCCTGGCTATGGAAATAGCCATTTTAATAACTTCTTTGATCTACTGTAATGGCAATTGTTTTAGGGTTCCTTTTGAACTGTCAATATTATTTAACTTTAATTTTATTCAGAGTGAATTATATGACATTAAAACAAAAAGTCTGGCATAAACAAAAGTCATGGACATTAATTTTAAAGTTATGGATTCATATCTTATTTGAACAACTTTATTAACATTTTTAATACTCATGTTAATAGGGATTTAATATGCAAACTTATTCCCCTAAAAATTATTCCCGAAGTTCATGATAATTGGGTTATAGTCACTGATAAGTTCTGAGAATTGGTTAAGGCACTAAACTAGAAGAATGCTGGATGATTATTGTTATAAGATTTTATGCTTTAATATATTTAACCAATGTTAAGTACCAACTATACGTCAGCTACTATGCCAGGTGCCTATTACTCATTTTTTAATTTTTTCTTTTTTTTTAATCTCCAGGGGAAAATTAAACCATATGTTAATGGTACACCTCCTACATATTCTAGGGAAGATTTAAAACCATGGGAAAAATCACCAGTACTTAACATATCTGCTCCACAGACCATTCCCAGTAACAGAATTGATACTACAAGCTCTTCCACTTGGGTTGCTGGCTCTTTCAGGTAGGATTTTCATTTTGTTCTGTACCTATTCGAGAAATATTATTCATTTTCAGTCCAATGGAAATTTTTAATGAAGCACATTTAAAAAATATTAATGTAAATTTCTAATACATAGAAAATTACCTAAATGCATACAGATTAGTAGTCAGCTAAAATAAGCACTTTTTTTTCCCCAGACAGAATTTAGTTCCCTTTGTACTGTCATTTGTGAAAATTGGTAAATACTATATAACACACACATACCTATATCTAGATATGTATTGACTTAATAGCTATTTTTTTGATAGTATATATTAATTAAAACTCCCATTCAGGAAGACTATTTTGTCAGTTGTAGGCTTACTTTTTGTTTTTAGCACATTAAAGGGTATTTAAGATCTCACAAAATGTATTGTTATTCAGTTATTTTTCAGAGGACATTCATTTAATGTTACACTGTGCTTTGATTTGCCTGTATTAAATCCATATTTTTCTTTTGTTTAGAAAAGTCCATTTTTAAGTGGAAGGAGTAGTAGATATAATCAGAATGCAGTACTTTTAGAGTGTTTATTGAGCTCGTGTTTCATCTTTATATACCTACTATGGTTTATCATAGGCTAAAACTGTTGACTTACCAATTATATTTATGTAATTATTTATTTTGAAATGTGCTGTATTTTGCAAAGTTGGGAGACCAGATTATGATGTGCCCGTTTATGTTGCTTCATATTCTAAAAGTAGTTTAGAAATCCGTCTCAAATTTTTTGCCTTTTTAAGTCAACATGTTTGTGGGAACACTGAGAAGCATCTTCTAATCACTAGATTATTTTATTAAATGTGTTTTAAGAATAATTTGCTTGGTGTAAAGTCAGCAAAATAGATTGGCTATTTCTACAGATTGTAGAATTTTTTTTCTCATTATTGTGTAACTCCCCCAGGTAGGTTTCTCATATTATCGAGCACTCCCAAGCTTTACTGTTAAATTTTTGTTGTTAACATTAGACAGTAGTAAGAATTTTGTTAAAAATAGAATATAATTTGCAAGTTCTATTCATCTTAAAGGATAAAAATTTAAGCAGAACTTTGATTACTTCTGCCTGAGTTAGAAAAGAATCATTTTATTGCTTGGCTTTTTTTTTTGAGAGCTTCAGTTATGACTTTGGATGCATTTTAGTTGTTTTATGTATATATAAAAGTAGCCTTCATTCAGAGTATCCTTTTTGAATTTGGCCATAGCTGACAAACCTTAAATTAGCCTCTCATTATCAATCTTATATATAGTTTACAGTTTCAGTGAAGTTTGGGGGTTGGACTTTATGGATCAATAACTGTGTTGTAAAGTACCTTTTATATGTATTTTAGTCCTGTCAGCCCTCCGGTCATGGATCTCAGAACCATCATGCAAATTGAAGAAAGTAGACAAAAATGTGGAGCTACACCAAAGACAAATTTGGGGTCGGTTAAAAAATCATAAAAAAGGAAAGATGGTGGTTTTATAGTTCTGTTCTAAAGAATTGGAAAGGCCTACTGGACTTTGTTTTTCTACATTTGATATTAAACTCAAATTATAAGCTCTTTCCTTGGTACTCTAGCCTTCCTAACATTTCTTAAATATATGCTAAAGATTGAGTTGGGTTGGTAGTCCAGCTCTTGTGGAATATGGTGTTGTCAGAAATTGGCCTCTAAAATGATCATTGTGGACTATTTCTGATGCAAGTGTCATGTAAATATATTAGGCTCATTTGTAGCTATTATTTGATCATTGATAGTGTAAACTGTTATTGTCACTGTTGAATCTTGTGGCCATTTTGATCCAAAGTAGTAAAATCATATCAAATAAACAGAAAGCAATATAATTACCTGTAACCTTCATTAGAAATTAATGCTAATTCATTTAATTTCTAGCAAAATGATTTCTCATGGCGTTAAACTTTCTCAGAAGCAACGAAAAATGATTGCAATGACTACCAAAGAAAACAATTCAGGAACGAATAGCATGGAAACAGCTTTAACTGCTCCTTCAAAAACTCCAAAACCAGCGAATGCATGGTATGCTTTAAATTTTATTAAAATAAACAGAGATCTGTGCATTAGCTTTTAAGGTAGTTCTTGGCTTCTGGGTCCCCCTCCCATCTTTTCAAATATTTCATTCCTCTCTTCACTTTTAAGTTAAAAACTAGACCTTGTGAAGTAATCTTTTTTTTATTTTGACATTTACATCATGGTTTCCAAAATTTTTTGTACATAGATACAATTTCTTCTTGGTAGTCTTTCCTTTTTTTTCTTCTTTTAAAGATTTTTATTTGGGAAAGAGTGAGAGAGCACAAGCCAGGGGAGGGGCAGAGGGAGAAGCAGACTTCACTGAACAGGGAGCCTGACGTGGGGCTTGATCATACCTGAGCCGAAGGCAGTTGCTTAACCAAGTGAGCCGCCAAGGCGCCCCACTTCTTGGATTCTAATTAGTGTGTATTGCTAAAGTAATTTAAGCAAACAGTCTTATTTTTTTTTTTACCACCTTACTTTGTCCTTTTGGATACATCATTAATATGTTGTTATAATCATGGCTTTCATTGTCACTTTTAAGCAGGGGTATTTACTTGCTGTAAGTTTTCTCCATTAGATTTTACCTAAAATGGCAGCATTAATAGGAACAATCTCTAAAAAGGTCAGCTAGCAATTTGAGGTATATAAAATAGGTTGTACTTCCTGCTTCCCTTCTAGCCTCCCTTTTCTTTGTAGTTTATATCATAATAACTAAAAAGCAATTCTAGAGGAAAAGTATATGGATAGTGTGAAGGGCAAGAAAAAGATTCATTGAACTCCATTTTCTCAGAAGGACTGAAGAGGGTCTTGGAGGCTACCCTTTGTTGGAGGGAATCCTTTCATTGCTTCTTTTATTTATCATTATTATTTTTCTTTTTTTTGAGGGTGGGGAGGGCAGAAGGAGAGGGAGAAAGAGAATCTTTTTTTTTTTTTTTAAAGATTTTATTTATTTATTTGAGAGAGAGAGAATGAGAGAGAGCAAGCACATGAGAGGGGGGAGGGTCAGAGGGAG